TTAATTTCTTTTAATATTTAGTCATGTAACTAATATATACTTATTAAACTTATTTTAGCATGATTTAGTACTTTTAAATTATGATCATTTTCATTATGACTTGTTAATTTGCAATATTTGTTTTACACAATTTCGTTATTATTATTTTTTGTTGGATATTTTAGTGTCATTACTCATATCATATTTTGTGTTATTTTCTTAAGAAACACCTTAGATAGTTGTATTTTGGTAGGACTAAAGAAATATTTGAAGTACAAGTAAATTATATGTTTGTATGAATACTTTACCGGAAAAACCCGAAAATCCGAAAAAATCCAAAAAAATCCGAGGTTGAAAAATTCGAGTTTTATTGGTTTGGTTTGGTTTATAGATTTAAAGATCCGACACAAATAGTTTGGTTTGATATTTGAAAACCCCGAACCAACCCAGTCATGTACACCCCTAGATTTACATATTGTAAAGCTCCATTCAAAAGGAAGCGCTTCCTACCAAAAAATTTATTCATGGGTTGCTTTATCACATTTTCATTATATCTCCCCAATTTTGTCAAGTAATCCCTTGACTGATACTTGTCGTTCTAATTTATGTGATACTGTTTGAGTTAATATAAAGTTCAACAAAAAAGTAAAGATTTTTTAAATTTATGGTCTAAAATAATTATTTGAATAGCTTATAAATAATTTTATTAAGAATAAAGAAGAATTTTAAAGTTGAATATTTTTTTATAATAAAGTGATGATATTCTTTTCGGGATTAATTAAAAAAAAAACAGGTTGTCGCAGAATTTGAATAAAAGGAAATATATTTCTAGAAAACAAAAATTGATACGTTTAATTATAATAAAAGAATTGTCTACAAAATTTGTGCCCCTTCAGTTATTTTTTTCTTCCTAAAATCTATTACCCGACTCCTTAATCAGCCGATTTCAAAAAAAATAATTAAAAATAGCCAATTTCTCAAACGTGTTTGAACATGAAAAAGAAAAATAGAAAAAAGAAAGTGACTGTGTTAATGAAAAAACTTAAGTTATATATATTGTTAGTATTAAAAAAAACACGAAAATAAATCCACTTGTCATTGGTTTGGTAAAGACAAAAAGAAGAAAGAACTTGCGAACGTTTAGATTAAACAAATAAAGTATAAAACAATAAATCATATATAAGCTAGCAAAATACTATGATGTGTCAGTATACTTTCCGGCTCAAATGTGTGTAATGGGATCGAGACTTGGCCAATCAAGCATGAAAAATTAAAAAATATTTTGTTTCATACCAAACGGTCCCTTCGAGTTCATTTGATTCATAGAAAGGTAATACAACTATAATTGTAATTTTGGGACTATAATATTGTTTTCCGAAAAATAGTGTAGTTAAATTTGTACAATGGATCAAGGACACACGTTATTATATATATACAATGGCGGATCCAGGATTTAGAGTTCGTGGGTGCCAAATAGACTTATCGATTAAATTAATTTTATATTTGATTAAATTATTTGTCTTTTCGATAAATATCATAAATCAATCAATAAAATGTAAATAATAAGATATTACACTTTTATTGAGTATTTAATCAAATAAAAGAAAAGTCAAAGAAGTAATAATGTAATTAATTTAATTTAAGTCAATAACAATTATAAAAAAATAAAAATAAAAATTGTGCCAGTGCTTGGAGCCTATTTTTTTTTCTTAAAAAATGTCTGCATCAAATTTCTCAAAAAAATAGGTACAAATGGAATTCGAACCCACAACATCAGCCTTCTAAAGTTGCCCTCCTACCATGGCACCACAGACAATTTTGTTCTATGGGTGGCACGCTTTATATTTATATAAATATTATATATATATACCTATGTATATATAGAGTTTCCGTCGAAGTTCGGGGGTGGCGTGACACCCCCAAACCTCTGCATAGATCCGCCACTATATATATATGCTTAATGTAAATGGTGTAAAGTAAATTTGGAGGTCAAGAATAAAAGTGTTGCTACACTATATTTCCTTTGTCTAATAATAGTTGTCTACTATACTATTTTGGAATGTCCAAGAATACTTGTCAATTTTATGAAATCAATGAATAATTTTACACTTAGTTCTTAATTTACCCTATTATTAATTATAGTCATTTCTCTATTACATTTTTTAAGAGTAATTTAAGACATTGTATTTACTACTATATTCAAAGGATAATATAGTAAAATTACCCTTCTAATTATAATTTCTTAAAAAGTGTGCAAAAATCAATAATGGACAAGTATTGTTCAATAGAGGGAGTATCTCTAGACACAAAACATATCTCATTAAATTAATTATGAACCCATAATTTCAAAACTAAAATGTGTTTAAGGGAAAACTTAACCCGCCCGATAGTGGGGTTTTCACCCACAACACTAGTGTGGAAAACATTTCCACAGTCTCTTCCTTACCACTGAGTCATCAATCAATTTTGTTAGGGGGTTCATAAGTTAATATACATATATATATATTTATTTAATTTTCTAATAAAAATATAAAATTTACGAAAAAGCTATTGAGTTAGTCCGAACCCATGAATCTCACTTAGCTCCGCCCCACTTCGCTCCATCCCACCATGCCTCATTGCTATCCTTAAAAAGGAAAATAAATATTCTTAAAAAAATAGAACGCATAAAGGGTGAAAACGTGTTTAGTTATATTGCCGATTAAGATATTGAATCCCAAATTTACATAGGTTCTATTTTTAAAAGGTTCCCATTAATCTTTTCACGTCAAACCCGTGAAGTTTCGTGTTATGACTTTTACTATAACTTTCCTTTTGCTTCTATTTTTTTCTTCTTCTATGGACTAGTACTAGTATTTCAATGAATTTATTTCCTAATAAAATTCTTTAAAATACCAAAAAGAAATATAGAAACAAATTAACAAATAACAACTAATTTGTTAAATAAACTTTACTATGGTCATCAATTTAATTTCTTTAACAATCTGATGTGATTAATTTTTAAAATTTTAGAAAAATTCGCAGTCACTATCCTTCGAGTGTGCAATGAAAAAATCGCTCATGTGTGCAAATTGCAATAGCTTACAAGTTATACTAGAGATGTAAATCGTACTAGATAATTCTGATATGATAAACTCGATTGAAAAGACGTTGAGAGAGAAATCAATATCTGACCTCTCCTATGGTAAGGGGATATCATACCATGCTGCACCGACAATAATGTCTGACGTGAATCAATATTATCAATGTGTCTACATTGATTAATAATGTCCAAAATTGAATTCAAAATTTTAAATTACCTTCTATTTTTTTTCTTATATTAAGTACTTCAATATCCTACCTTTTTTTTATTCTTTTGGTGATTAGCATAACCTATACCCACAAATTACCTTACTAAAAAAATAATTGAGTTTGAAGTAAGTGTAAATTTAGGTCCTCTAGCACATTTTTTATATTTATTTATTTTTAAAAAAACTTCACAGTTATTTTGCAAGAACAGAAAAAAAGAAGAAGTAAGTTTATAATATTTGGAAAGTCAATGATTCTTTTTAGCTTTGCTATTTTTTTATCAACTTTTTAATTTTCAAACTTCACAAGTTTTATGATTTATTTATAGTATTTCCTCAAATTCAAAAGAATAACGAGGTTCAGGGTACCTCTTTAATGCATTTTTATTTTATTAATTCTATCGGTGTCATTTCTTTGTTCTTACGAAATGGAACTTACTGTATATGTTAAAAAATTATTTAAAGTACAATAAATAAATAAAAATATTACTGTATTAATGTCAATGAAAAAAGTCATAACCGAAGAAAATTATTTGACAGCCAAAATAACAATAACAGTACAATTTTTGAACTAGTGGATTATAATTTTCCCATGTACTTTTTAAAATTGTAATTTTATTATTAAAAATTCAGAAAGGGTAAAAAAATGAACAATGCAAAATTAAACACATATATATTAATTAATAGTTTGTTCTAAAAATACCTCTATGGTTAATAAATTTGATCCAAAATACCCCTACCGCAAATAAATTGGTCCAAAATTTCCCTATTAATGAATCAAAAATGTCCTTTTGCGATTTGAAGTAAAATAAACATTTGCTAGTTAAAAAATTATATTAGGAATAGAATGTGTTTTAAAAAATAAAATATGTATTTGAAAAAAAAGGAATATTTTTTACCAAACTATAAAAATGATATTTTAAAACCAAATTATTCACTGAGAATATTTTTATTAATTTCACATAATTAAAGAGTTTTTTTTACATGGTACATATTAAATTCATTATTCTTTTTTTTTTGACGAAAATTCATTGGTCTTCGTATTCTAACATTTGTCAGTTTCTTTTGGAAGATAGAAAACGCGTAATATTATTTTTTTTTAAAAATAGAAGTTACGAAAGTTAAGAAGGCAAGTAAATTGTAAAAAATCCTATTCTTTAGGCTTATTCACAAACTGACAAAACAAATCTTTGAATTCCCTCTAAAAATTAATTCTTCTCTAATTAAATTAAATTTTCAAAAATAAAACTGACCATTTCTTTTTCCCTTCCGTTTCTGCTATCCATCATCCTAAAATACTGATGAAAAAAATAAAACTCCTTCAAAATCTCCAAATTAGGAATGGAATTCAATTTTTTTAAATTTTTTCACAAACAAACAAAATAGCTTTTCTGACCCGATAGTTTTGTCACAAAATCTGTATGTTATAAAATTTCTTCTCTTTTAATGCTTCTTCACAAGAATAGAAAGAGAAAGAGAAAAAGAAAATAATTAAACCTTTTATTTATAACCCTTCCTTTACTTCCTGCAACTTTTCAGTTTTTCAGTTTCCATAAAAATTTGAATACTTATTATTATAAATACACAACACAAGAAAAGTAAACAAGTTATAGGTTAGGCCTACAAATGTTAGCATAATAGTACAATATATGTATCTATCATCTTCTGTGTTTGGAGAACAAATCAACTTGTTATTTGTGAAACCAAAACTTTACCGTGTTTTGGTTCATCTATTGCCTGATTTTGTTTGTTATTGATGCTTGTGGGTTTACAAATATGGCCATTCAAGCGCATTTGTATTCGGAGAATCTCGGGTTTTCGTTAGGGAGTTTGCAGGATTTAATGGATGATAATGTTTGTGGATTCAATCAATTTTGTTTCAATCCTCAACCGGAGCAGCAGCAACCGTATTTGTTACAAATCCAACAGCAGCAGTTTCAAATTCTGAATCAGAAAAATAACATTCAGAATTTGATGAATTCGTCAAATTCTACCATGTTTCCTCATAGTCTGGCTTCTCAATTTGAGAAACAGAGAGTCGAGATTGATCAGTTCATTAGTTTACAGGTAAAGGTTACTCCTTCTATCTCAATTTATGCGATTTTAGTGAGATGATTTGTAGCTGGGTTCTAACAATTAATTGATTTTTTGTTGATTAACAGACCGAGAGATTGAGATTGGCTCTGCAAGAACAGAGGAAGCAACAAGTGGCATTAATTTTGAGAAATTACGAATCAAAGACTCATTTATTACTGAAACAAAAAGACGAAGAAATTGCGAAAGCAGCAAACAGGTCTAAAGAGTTGGAAGATTTTTTGAAAAGGATAGAAACGGAGAATCAAACATGGCAGAGAATTGCGAATGAGAACGAAGCCATTGTTGTTTCTTTAAACAACACAATTGAACAACTAAGAGAAAATGCCTGTTTTCAATCAGGTGATGCAGAGTCTTGCTGTGATGTACAACCAATTGAGGACAAAGTACAATCATCGATAAGGATGATGTGCAAAAGGTGTAATTCTAGTAAGTCATGCATGGTTTTTTTGCCTTGTAGACATCTTTCTTCATGCAAAGATTGTGAAACTTTTCTCCATTCATGTCCTCATTGTAACATGGTCAAAAAAGCAACTATAGAGGCTTTCATTTGATCTTCTTGCAAAATGACAAGTGTTCCAAGCTTTTTTTCCCCTAATGTTCGGTTCTGAACTTTGATTAATTTAAATTTGCATCGCAAAAAGGATCATTTTTCAGAAAAGTCAATTCCTTATTCAATCTTTGGAAGGGTACTTCTATTTAAGTTTTAGTGAACATAGTGTTCGCTAGAATTGGGGTCTTTTTATAGAAACCTCTGGGCCTCCTACCACCAAAAAAATGTTTATATGGTGCAAGAACGCTCACATTTTGTTCTAAGGGAAGAGTTTTTCTGTCAGATAATTTTCATTTCCAATTTCGAATCCTAAATCTTTCATGTAGGATAAAAGGATCTTATCTATTCTACCAAAACCTCCACCACCGTTCATATAATATAGGAACACTCACATTTTGATTAAGGTGTTTGTTATCACAAATTTTTCATTTCCAAATTCAAATTCGAAATCTTTAATTTAAAACAAAAGGATATCATTTATTCTACGAGAACCGTTGATAGTTAAAGAACATTGATTTGTGGGATTAGTTTGGTAGAGTAGTCATTCTAAATTCATAAATCACATTGTTAATCTTGTAACTTTTTTATTTTATGAAGCTGACTCATTGATCTCTTTTTGGACTTTGATAATTTTGTGTACTCTCTGAGGGGAACCCCTGAATCATATAATTAAACAGAGTTATTATTATTATTAATAGTACAATGACAGGAGACAGAGCATCTCTTTTATTTATAGTATTATTTATTTCTTGGAAAACATTACTTTAACCTTTTTGGGGTTTTCAAATCATCCACTTTAGGATTGATTTGATTATTCATATCTGATTTTAGCAGTCGTTTATTGTGTTTGTTGAAATGTGACTGTGAGTGCATGTCAGAAATTAGTAGGTAGGATTGGGGGGTGGGGTGGGGTCACTGGTACTAGTTTTTCTGTCAGATAATTTTTACTTTTTTGTAGTTGATCTACTCTTCCAAGGAATCCACCTTTTTTGTTTGTTTTGGGATGGAGAATTTAATATAGAATAATTTATAGTATAGACTGTAGTCAAACCTCTCTTCTCCATAATAGCATTTTTTGCTGTTATATACGTTAACAATTTGAACTTTTTATATTTTATTTTGTTATATATTATCTAGTATAAAAACAATAGTTATATTTATTATCGCATTAAAAGTATTGAAAACACCTTTATATTTAGCGTAAATTGTTAGTTTCGATTTTGGACTATTTATAACTTTAAAACACTCTTCTATTTGACTAATTAAACTTAAATATATCTCCGATCTGCGACATGACATAGCAATTGGTTTCAAATTCTTGTAAGAGTGTGAAACTCTTAATAAAAAGTCAAGAGAAGTGTTAAAAATACCACTAAACTTGGCGAGAATTAAGGGGTGTATTTCACCAATGTAACAAAATATGAGGTATATTTAAGTTTAATTAGTTAAATAGAGGGGTATTTTAAGGCGGCCATCGAAAGCTATTTATGTAACTTACATAAACAAAAAATAGGGTTGTGTGTGTCTCACAGATACAATACTCAATTAGCTTGTGTGTGTCTCAGGCTCTTTACCTGACTGTGGCCGTAGACCTACGGATGTACCAAAATATCTCTGGCTGTTGAACTAAAAATGAGGCTAATAGTTTGGTTCTTATTTATTGTGCTTTCAAAATCGAATTATAATCAATAAGTTAATTACAAAATTGATTTATTAGTATTGGATTATCAGACTAAAAGTTGGTGTGGATTACAATTTTATAGGTAACAATTTATCGGCGCGAGAGCGGATTACTTAATTTTCTTATTGGGTAAATCGGTAATTCGTTAAGAATTATTGTAGTTACATTTTTATCGTAAATATATTTTATTAAATAAATACTTATGTATTTGCACCCTCAAAATTTAGACTTTTATATGTGTCTCACAGTGATTTACAATTACTGAATTACCAATTTAAATAGAGATAGAAAAAATATTTTGTTTGATGGAAAATCAATATAATTGTGAGTGAAAGTGAAAGAAGAGAGCATGAAATATTGGAGCCAATACACCGTCCGTTAATTCTCAATCCAATACCGAACCAACCAATAGCTTATTGATTGGCTAGTGAATTAGCATAATTATAATTTGATATTCGATAAGTCAAACCGTTAAATATAGCTATTCATCCAATCTGTCCAATAAATAGCCCTATGCGAACAAAATTTTATATTAATATATAATGAGAAAAATAATAATATAAGGTATAATACTATTTTAATAATATGATTATGTCGGATATTTTCTAAAATAAATAAAATATCTTTGTATTAATTTAGTCTAATAATTTTTGTCTCTAGTCTAGGCTTTTGCACAAGAGAAATGTGATATTGCCTCGTAATTAATTATTGTGGGAACTTTGGGTCCAATCAATTGTGGGCGTAATGAAATGAAGTGCTGGTCCTCTTCGTCTACTATAAACTATATATATAGTCTATAACTCTATAGAGATAGATAGATATGCCTCCAATGTCATGCCTACTTTGCAGGCCCTTTTTTTTTCGCTCGGCATTCGGAGTTCATATTAGAGTCTTAAATAAATTTGGATCGCACAATATAAGGTCCATTTGAGGGTGGCGCTCCCAATGACATTTTTTTCATACCTAGTATGTATTGTGATGAGATGATTGAGATTTCTCTATTTTAGATTAAAATTTTCAAGTTTACTTCCCTATAATAACAAAAAAATAAAAGAAATTAAAAATGTTATTTTTTAAATGAATCTTATAATGTACGAATCTAATTTTAATCAAACTCTAATAGCAGACACCGAATGAAAAAATCAAAATCAAATGAAAGCGCACTTCTTTCGCCGTCTGCCTGTGGACTGTCTGACTTTCTTTGGCCCAATTTATGAATTATTAATGGATTGACTATGCATTATTCTCTTCCGTGTTTTCTGTTGTCTTTGATGGCTGAAATATGGCATGAAATGACTTAATAATTTCGTTTATCTACCAAAAAAAAAAGAAATTCGTTTAATAATTTCGTTTCAAAATAAGTGATGTTTTTAATTTAGATATATTTATTAAATAATATATATATGAAAACCAATTTTTAAAAATAAGTGGCTAAAATTAGTAAGGTGCAAAAGATCTTGCAACTTAAACAAGAACAAAATATACCATTTAACTTGGCCTCAGTTTATATTTATACCCACCAATTTAGGGTGTGCACAAGTAGACATTTAAATTTGTACAAAATTGAACAAATAGACACAAACGTTCTACGCACTACTAAAAAACTGCTAAAAAGCGACGGACAGCGTCGCTCCACAAAAGCGACGGACTAAGAGATGCCGCCCGTCGCTTTTTAATTAAAATAATTATTTTTAAAATTATTTTACAAAAAGCGACGGACTGCATCTCTTAGTCCGTCGCTTTTTTTTACGGATTTTTGCGCTAAATATATATATAATTAATAATAATTTATTTAATATATATAGAGACGTTGTCCGTCGCTTTTTATTAAAAATAATTATTTATAAATTAAACAATAACCACGCTGTCCGTCGTTTTAATTTATTTTATTTTATTAATTAGTTTTTAAAAAAAGCGACGGACGGCATCTCTTAGTCCGTCGCTTTTTGGTCAAAATATCTAGTCAAACATTTAAAAAAAGCGACGGACAGTGTCTCCTAGTCCGTCGCTTTTTAATTAAATTTTTTTTTTAAAAGTGACGGACGGCATCGCTTAGTCCGTCGCTTTTTTTTTGCAGATTTTTGCTAATTAATTATTTTATATAGATAGTGACGCAGTCCGTCGCTTTTTATTAAAAATAATTATTTATTAATTTAAAAAAAGTCACGCCGTCCGTCGCTTCTTGGTCAAAATATCTGGTTAAATATTTTAAGAAAGTGATGGACAATGTCTCTTAGTCTGTCGCTTTTTGGTCAAAATGTTGGTCAAACATTTTTTAAAAAAAACCGACGGACATAGAGACGTTGTCCGTAGCTTTTTTAAAAATATTTGCACTAGCAGACGCGATTTTGCCCATTTCTCCATATAAAAACAAAATTGAGAAATATTTTGATTTAATTTTATTTAAATCGTCTTCCGGAGAATGGTTTTGTGTAAAATAAAAAACAAAAAAAATTATAATACCGACTTCCAGATGTCGGTAAAATTAAATAGTATGTAATAAATTAATATTTTCAATTAACTTTAAATAAATCGTCATCCAAATGACGGTTTTATATAAGTTGAAAATTAATTTAATAAAAAATATCGACCTCCCGATGTCAATATTATTTAATTAACATGATTACTTTTTATTTATCTTAAAATTTAATGTGATACTTGAAACGACTCCAAAAATGCCCGAAAATGTGCTTCGGAAACACCTATAATTGTAATTTCCATATATCTCAAAATCCGTGCATGATTTCGGAAATCCGACTTCATATTCTTGTTTAGGGGGTCAAATTGAGTGGGAAATGAGTCTAACCCGAATTTTAGAACAACCGTATCAAAATTCGAAAATCGCAAAAAAATGCGATTTTGAGGGTCAACTTTAAAGGGGCATATCTCTCAGCACACAAGGAACTGGAAGGAGCTCAAACTATCAAAATTAAAGCTTTGTGAGTTAGCTTTCCAACGCAATTTGTTTCGCCTCATTCCGAGTTAGGATGAAGGAGTTATAACCATTTTCGTAAAACCTCGCCGGCAGAAAAGTGCCATTTCCAGTAAGCCGAAACACTGTTCACCCGCCCCATTAATTTTTCTAAGTGTTGGACAATTTTTTTTCCAAAAGGGCATATGATATTCCCTATATATCATTAGTTCATTCCAAGTCTCTAAAACATTTCTCAAACATCCAAAAACTCTCTCTAAACCCTCTCCAAAATTCCACCAAGATCATCAACCAAATTCAAGGATCCCAAGCTTTAATTCCGGATTCAAGATTCAATCTCAAGCAATTCTCCATTCCAATCTTCATCAAGAATTCTCCAAAGTTGAGGTATGTGGGTTGATTGTGGA